TTAGTTTGAGATTCACGTTCAGTTCCTCCTCAACCAATTCTGAGGCATATTTGTTGTCGCTCCCACAACCCTTTCTTCTCCTCCTTAGTTTGAGATTCACGTTCAGTTCCTCCTCAACCAATTCTGAGGCATATTTGTTGTCGCTCCCCACAACCCCTTTTTTATTCTCCTTAATTTGAGTTTCACGCTCAGTTCCTCCTCAACCAATTCTGAGGCATATTTGTTGTCGCTCCCCACAACCCCTTTTTTATTCTCCTTAATTTGAGTTTCACGTTCAGACCAAATTTTCCTTTTTTAATTTCACGTAGACAAGTGCATTTTCACCCTTTTCAACTCAAGCCACAATGATCACCCTCCTATACTCAGTCCGTCGCCACCACTCTGCCTTCCATTACCTCCGCCAACAACACAGCGCAACTCACTGGTTAATTTTTTTCACCATTGTTCTTGCAAATTTTTCTCACGAGCCAGGCGAAGGAAAATGGGATTTTTTCAAACACCTCATTTGGGAGAGTTTACCTTTGGCGAACTTCTCCTTTAAATTAAATAACTTCCATTAATATTTCTTTATTAAATGCTAATTTGTTTTATTACTCAAGTTTATTACAAGAGGTTAAGTTAGACACTTAATTATCTAACCTTTGATCTTTATTTAGGCTACGAAGGTATTTGTACAAAATCTGTTACATTTGAGATTGAACACTAATTGTAACTGACAAAACGAATAAGTGGGAAATATAATACATCATGTGTTACTGTAACATTGTTTCAAAAGCTATGTTAAATTGTCTTATGACAAAATGTAATGTTTTTTTGCACATAATGTTACACAAATGAAAAATATAATCTCTAACACAAATAGTAATATGAACTTAATGTACACAAGTTGTATGAAAACTAATACAGTGTCGGCATATTATGCAATAATTATGTAACCCTCAGGCGACATCTTTTGATCTCCTCTCACTTGGTGACCCTCAGCATCTTTTGGGCACAGAGATACCTCCCTAACTACTGATAGGAGTGCCCGGAAAAAGATGATGCTCTGTCTCCATCATTATGTCTGTGACTTTGGCAGGATTGATAACCATTGTTGTCTCATTACACCATCTGCTCACCCTGCTAAAAGACTGTTTCATGCTGTTTTGAAGTTCATATTTGTTAGAATTTTCTGTACAACAGAATTCCACAACCAAAGGTTACCATACTGTATCTTGCTGAACTTTCAGGAAGATTGGATCCAGAGAACAGATATTGAAGAGAACTGGTAAAGAGTGGTGATCCTTGAGGCAGCCTGGTATTGATGGCGATCCAGTCTGATTGCTGGCTTACATGCTTGATGATCCATCTTCTTGTAGTTAATGCAGCTATGACTCATCTCACACATGCTACAGTGATACATATTTTGAGGGTCTTGTTGCACAATAAGAAGCTGGATTCTGTTTATGCATCTTACAGGGCTAAGACTATTGCCAAGGCGTTCTAATCGGCTTCAAAGCTTCCCTGTTTACAAGCTGCAAATTTAAAAATGTTCATCTTGGTTCCTCTTCTACCATGATAATCACCTAATGATGAAAATGGGAGTAGTGGTTTCTAGTTGCACCTTTCTCTGGGATATTTTCAATGATGTTTTATATGATGACAATTTGAAGACCTTTATGATGACACTGATACTTTAATTGTTTGAGAGAAGATTTCATAAATACATCAGTCCACATCTATGGAAACTAAATGTTGCCCATCTACATAGAAAATAACTGACATTTCCATGTTTTTGGTAACTGTTCATTCCCAAATGTTGTAGAAGTGCCAGAATAAGATTCTTGTCTCGTTCTTTGAAAGCTGGTCGCCCGTAGAGAGAACAGGCTTTGTTTCACGCGATCCCTGTCTAATCTGCCTGTACTAGGTCAAGTCGTATACACATGAACTCAGCTTTGGCTTAAGCACGTGCCTTTCAGGCTTTATCAGTACTACTATTTTACTAATATTGAATGTACCATTGCAGAAATTGTTATCTTGACTTTATTAAATGGTGGAGAGGTAATTAAGTAGGTAAAAGTATTGTCAGATGGATTTCCAGGTTGTTTTATTGTACTGTTCATTCTGACATTATGCCCCCTATGCCTGGTATAGATAATATTAAATGTGAAGTTACCGAAAGCAAGACTTATATAGGAGACTGTCACCTTGACACTCAGTGTTTCTTGTTGGTTCACCAGAGTTTAGCGGCATAAGGTTGGTGGCTAGGAGAAATGTCCAGCATTGAAATCCCACTATTGCTAGATATATAGGGTTGTTGTCAGACGGGTCAAGCTGGAACTTCCAATCTTCAGCATGATAGGCTGTGTTACATTTGATATACACGTTGGTGATTCAGATATGTGTAGATAATTTCTGGATGAGATATCGGGATATTACCTAGCTTGCATTGGTGATTATTCCACTGTGAGCTCTCATCATTTTCATAGCAGATGTTGCCAGTATGTGGTATGAAAGTGAACTCTTTGTTAGATACACACGACTGTTTAAGGTAGTGCGAGTGTTATGTATAAATCATACGTTATGTAGTTCTATTGTTGTGATTTGGCGCTTGTATTATTGCTCCACATTACTAGAACCTTCTTAGTTTTTCTCGTTGTTTTGATCGGGTATTGATACATCATAATATCTCGCAGTGTGTAGAAAGTTATAGGCCTCGGTCAGGCTATAAATACACGTACAAAATGTAGTTCGAGTTAGTTATATAGAAAGTAAGACAAATTTAGACAAAGTAAGTTAGTGAGAGATATAGTTAGATAGTTCTAATCAAAAACACCTTAGGTGATTTACTTAAACATAGTTGGTAACTCTGCAAAGTTCCTATACTTACCCACATAATTTAGCAGTTGAGAACTGTGTATTAGCACCTACAACTATTAATATAGTAAAAATACTTTTACAAAAACAACCAAAAATACCCGCACACCATTATGAAAGATCCAAATTTATTATTTTTTTTTCCTTTTCTCAACCATTTTCTTCCTATTTTCTTCTTTCTTGTTTACACTCTTTTTGTGTAGGATAATTATACTATGTTAAATTGCTCTGGACTTTTGGGCAATGTGTGCGTTTTGAAAGTGACTATCAAGCACCAATATCCAATTAGAGTAGCCCAGGAGTTGGTCCCCCGGTGGGTGATGTTTGTCAGCTGCCTTCCCTCTAGACCAGACCCTGTCCTAGTTACAATATAAAGTAGGCCTAGCGAAGACTTGGTATCGATCATTATTTGCAAAATTATAATTTGAAACCCAGTGTAAGATCTTCTAGACTGTAATATGAAATTTCAGTAAATTTCTCTTCCCTCCAATTTCTTTTTAATTTAAGTAGTTCTGTCTTAAACGAGGAAAAAAATTGTTAAATTACTTACTCTTGAAATTAAGGTATTTTTTATACACTTGAAAAAACGTATACAAGTTAGTAACTTTACGATAATATATAGCAACTCATAGACATACTAAGTCGTTTTTAAACTCTATGCTTAAAACTCTAAATGAATGGGCCTCTTGACACCTTGTGTCCAGAGGCAACTGTTTTCTCTTGTCTGTGTGTATTTGTGTAAATAAATATAAACAATATGATATCATTCTAAATGAGTTTAAGTGTTATTATCCATTAAAATTCACTATTTAAATTGAGTTTTTCTGTAGTCGAAAAGAAGAAAACATTAAGTTCCAGTTCTCTGTGCTAGTGAATTATTACATTTTTTTTACTCTTGTATTAAGAAAATAATTGCCAGTTTAACTAAAGGAAAAGCAAAAATGCAAAAAAAAAATAAAAGAATTGAAACACTTGAAACGTAAATGAACGACGTGTTTTTTTATGATCTAATTAGTTATCAGAATTGTTCTGATGATAGTTTAACACCGATCTTAATCACCCAATGACAGGATTAGTTAAAAAAATAATTACGTGTATTTCAACTTCTCGTTTTTCTTACAAATCATTGCTGCTTTGCTCGTTACCATTTCTCGCTAGACCGTTCGAGTTGCAACCTCTTTGATAAGCTGTTAATGGTAAACGTATTATCGCATAAAAGGATTTTATACTGATTGTGCAACTTATCGCAAAACGAATGTTTTGAAGTATGTGTGTGTGGTTGTTGGAGATACTTCCTGCAGTATAATTTATAAATAAATAAATTAATTAATTTAGTGATAAGGTATATAACAGAAAAACATTCAATTATCGATGTGTAGATGCTCAAAAGCTGTTTGAAGTTAGCCATCCCTGAGAAAGCTAGTTAACAGCTCTCACCGCTAACTCTTGGGGCTCTTTTCTCTTAAAAACTAGTAAGGTTTAACTTTCACCCTTATAACATACCCACTGTCCCAAAATGCACAACGAGATTAGATGTAAATATTTTTTGGGGGGGGGTAATAGAAAG